GAAAATTATGTTTTTTTTAACCTAAAACCGCATAAACATATTGCATTACACCAAATACACAAAATAATGTTCTTTTTAGCAACGTCATATGACCCCTTTAAACCGTGCAAGTCAATACACCAGGAAAAAAAAATTGTAGGCCGTCATAATCTTTAATCAAAAACTGAAAATTTGTTTCCGCTTTGGATTGACGTTCTTGCTCTGATGACGTCAGTTTGACAGCTTGGGGAGGATCCTCTTGTTAAGTCATGATGTAAGGACTGCTGTTTCCAGGTCCATGCCTCTACTCATTTCACTTGAGAATACTACTATCTCAACAGCCATTTATGAGCACTATTTAATTAATATTACATATTTAAACTAAGCATTTAAAAATTTGCTGTGCACACTACAGTCTCCGTGCTCACAGTGTCTCAGACACTAATATTTTAGCTGAATCACTGTCTGGCCATCTGGGATTTCAGTATGGAGATAAAGGTTAGGGTTATAATTTTTCAGCATTACATGACATCTTGGGTGTATATTAGCACAGTCTGTTGTTTTCTTGGGGCGTCTGGCAGAGCATTAGGACCCAGAAGCGGTGAAGAGTGATGTCAAACGTAACAAGCAGATATTCTTAACCACTCCTATCCAACCGTGAATCTGCTATGAGCAAGAGGTGGAGTGGAGGTGCACCACAATAAAACCTCGCCCTTTATTCAATATTTCGTTTCACTCGGAAGTACATCACAACACTGAAGTCAGCTGCAACTGCCGGTTCATGGGTACTTTAATATTTATATTTTTCAAGGTATTGAAGTTAGACATTTCTGTATCGTGACCACTAATTCACGTACTTTGTCAATAAGATAAAAGTGAGTTTTGTTCAAAGTAGCTATTATCCACATAGATCTTTGATATAAATGAATATTTTTTTGGTAATTCATGAAGTATCGCTGGCTAAAAAGTAACTAGTACTCTGAGTAGTTTTTGAGAAGAGTATTTTGTATTTTTGGCACCAGTACTTTTACTTGTAATTGAGTATTATTTCAGCAATGTAACAGTACTTGTACTTAATGTCACGATCTGTGATGGCGAGGAGCGCGGAGCGAGGAGACATGGAAGACAAAAACAGTCTTTAATCCAAGAAATAACAGGGGAATAACACACAATCCAACAAGTAGACCCGACAAACACTAACTGAATGGACTGGGGCTTTTAAACACAGGATAACGAGGGACTAAGGAGACACACCTGGAATCAAATTAGCAAATCAACATGAGGGAAGAAACTGGGTCACAGGGAGCAAAACACACACACACAGGCCCATAATCCTAACATATCACCCCCCTCCCGGAAGGTGCGTCCTCGCACCGTCGAACAACAGGAGGACGGACACCCGGGACGGGGCCGGCAGACAGAGTCCAGGGAGGAGACAGGAGGGATTTGGAGCAGGAGGAGTCCAGCTGGACCCAGGCCACAGCCATAATGATGGCCCACGGTGGAGCCGACGGAGGGAGGAGCCATGGAGGAGGAATGGCCGCCGACTCCAGGGGCCCGACCAGTGGAGGTGTAGCAGGTGGTGGAGGAGCCCGAGGCGGAGACAGAGAGGCGATGAGCCAGGGCGACGGGGAGGATCCGGAGGTCCTAGGCGGAGCCGATGGCGCCGGCGACCGACGCGAAGATGTGGATCCGGGAGGCCACGGTGGAGCCGGAGCGACAGACGACTGAGGTGGAGCCAAGGGGATGAAGGAGCCTGACGGAGCCGGAGAGACGGAGGGACAAGGAGAAGCCAGAGGAGTGGAGTCCCGAGGCGCAGGATGGTCGATGCCAGACCAAGGCGGAGCCGGAGGGACGAGGGAGCCCGGTGGAGCTAGTGGACTGCCGGGCCACGGCGGAGAGGAGGGAGCTAGGAGCAATGGTGGAGCCGACGGGTCCACGAGCCGAGGCGGAGTCCGGGACTTAGAGGCTGGAGGCGGAGTCAAGGGAAACTCAGTGTGGCTGTTTAGCAGTCTTATCACTTACAGGAAGTAAATGTTTCTAAAGTGTGTTTATTCTGCATGGAATGCTTCTGTACTAATTCCCACACAGTCAAAAATGTATCGGCTATTGAGTGAGGTAGCTGAGGTCACTGAGAATATACCTGACCTCACTAAGACATACACTTGGGGCAGATTTGTGATCTGATCTTTTTTGGCAAAAATCTCCCCACTTATTTTGTCACACGCTAGATCACTTTCATGAAAGGCCAAGTGCCACACATAAATACAAAAACTGACAAGCCATGTTATGGCTTATGTTATGCAACTTATGAGCCAACAGGAAGTGATGTAACGAAAAGGATCAACAAAGCAACAGCAATTTCCATTGTAATTTGTGGTTTTGGTTCAATGCAGTGAATTTTGAATCCCTTTGCTTGCTGCACTTCCTCATAACATGTGCAGCATGATAAAATGTTGAGTGACAGAGCGGTGAGTAAACGCAGCTTCTCTGTAGTTCGAAACGCATTCAGGACGGATAGCATTTCCATTACAAATGCAATGTGGTTAGGGCTGTGACGGTTGCTGTGACAACCGCGTCACCGCGGTGGTCGGTTGCCACCAGCAATAGTACACGTGACATCACGCACTCTATAACAAGCATAATACGAAGTTTTGTATACGATAATAAGTAATAAGAGTAATATTACTTAAATTACTGTTAAGTAATAGTTGCAAATTGTTTTATTTAGACTATAAGTCTATGGTAATTCACAAATGATCTCAAACGACATACACAGCATTTCCTTTAGATTAGCAGGTTTGAGCGCAGGAAAATACAGTTTATGCATTCAGCAAATTAATTCTGTGTTGGGCGACGGACCTTGTTGGGAAACCAAATACTACATTGCCGATCTGGAGCCATCTCCATTCATGTCACCCATCCGCATTTGTACAAGTGTCTTCTCAAGTTCCCGTCATCGCAAACGCCTGGCTGGTCAGGTTTGGTGAGGCTTTCTCCAAACTAGCCAAATACAAACGAGATAGCGATAAATGGTAGATGTTAACAAGAAATGTGGGAACGATTCCTATTTCAAAGAGAGGGCGTGCAGACGAGGAGTTAATGCGGCGCTTGCTCGGTGGCGGAACAGTGAACCGTGTCTACACCGGACACGACACCGCCGCATCGCAACAGGTTGAGTCTGTGTCTACAGGACATTTGAACTCTGTGTCAGTACCTCATAAATAGAACGAGGCAGTTTACTGTCGGGGATTTGTCGTGTCGCACCGCATCCAGTGTAGCATTACTGATTATAATGAGTTCTATAGTATTGCATATAGTACTGTAGTGTCGCACCGCGCCACTCGTGTCCGGTAGTTGGTCCATTACCACCGCGGTGGTAAAAATTTGCCACCGTCAAGGCCCTAAGTGTGGTCATATGGGTTTTTGACCACCTCTGTAGGTGTTTTAGGCCCTGTTTACACTTGGTTTTAAGATGCGTTTTGGTCGATCGGATCACAAGTGGGCAATAATAAAGACATACCTGTTAACGCCTGGCATTTTAATCCGTCCCTTTTCGACCTGTTCTGACCAGATTACCCCCCACCCGTGGAGCTGATTACGTCAAGAGGAGGGTAAATGGGCAGATCCCTCTGTCAGCATCAAAACATGAGCGGGAGTTATCGCGCACTAATATTATGCCAAGTATAAACAGGGTCTTAGTCATCTGATTGCAAACCTTTCTACACCCCATTTTCATCTGTAATTAAAACAGTTTGCTTGCTTAATAATAAAGTCTACAGTACATGAATAATGTATTGTACTGCAAGCAAGCATTTGTTTGTGATTTTTATTTGCCATGTAGAATAGGCTGTGACTAATATCTTGTGCATTACAAGCTTGGGATGCTGTTTGAGAAGAGTGTGTATGTGTGTGTGCGTGTGTGTGTGTGTGTGTGTGTGTGTGTATGTGTGTGTGTGTGTGTGTGTGTGTGTATACGTTTAATTATTAAAAATATAAGATTAAGATAAGAACAAAATGCACATTATAAATACAAACCATAAAATATGTCGTTGAAGCACGTCCTAGATAAACATAATCCCCACTTATTAAATTTAAAGATGCACAAAATAAAGATAGCTGCAAACAGAATACTAAACAGTGACATCAACATTAGTTTTAATAAGCATTAAGTTTAGTATCACACCAAACACTACTGCGCTATTGAAACTGTGAGGAGTCATGCATAAGGATTAAGGAAGTAACGACACTTTCAAGCAAAATAATCATATTGATTCAAGCATTTAACAATTACAAGTTAATTACTTGTTAGTAATGAACCCAATATTGCACAATACAAAGGTCTTCACTCAGTCCCAAACACAGTTTGGGGCCAATATGAACTAACACAGTAAGGTGGATATGTACTCTATCAGTTATATTGAGTTATATACGGCCACCTAGTGTCGCAGTTGTGTAATTTAGAGAATAACATATGCTATGTCAAGATCACGAAAAAATATTAAGTTGTGATAATGAGAAAACAACTTTTGTTATGTCGATATCACGAGAAAACAAGAAAGAAAAACAATAATAATCCTTGATCCCTTAGGACTTCCACAGGTAAAGGCATATTATTCATTAAAAAAAAATTTAAGATTTGATAAATTGTTTTGAATTTCCAGGCCTGAAACAGATGGATATAAAGTCCTACCATGTGCTGGCCCGTCATTACTCTTCTTCTTGAACAGTAAGCGAGCGAGCAGCAGCTCTTGTCTGAGGCGCAGCACATCTTCATAAAGACTTCGAGCTGTAGACCTCCAGCCTTCATCCTGCTGTCTGAGTCTGTCAGCCAGAGATTCAGTGAACTGTCTGGCTCCTCCCGATGGGCTGATCTTAATCACAGCCACGGCCACGGCCAGTTTAGAGACTCTCATGTACCAGCTCAGCGCTCCTACAGAGATCATGCAACAGTTCATCGTAAGCAAGAACTAGACCACTTCTGACATCACATCCACACTGGACACAAGCAGCGCAGGAGTAATTTTTTTTTTTTCTGGACTCCTTTTTAATGGTTAAATTAAATTGTATTACTCAAAAAGCATGTTTAATTAATTACAATCATGAAACTAAAATCGTAAAACAATTTAACATCAATTTATTAAAAATTCAACAAAAATTACATGTTTAGGGCCCTATGAAATGTTTTATTTTTTGGAAAATAAAGTTAATTTAATATTACAATTAAAACACTGAAGAAATATTGTATGATTATTCTTTAAAAAGAAGGTTTTAATAATTTTAGTAGTAGTAGTAGCAACCTATTACATACATTCTACTCAACAATAGCAATATATTTCTGCCGCAATGCATTTATATATTTATATTCTTATATTTTATATTATACATAAATATATTTAATATATAAACATATCATATTTTCTTAAATATATACATGCATGTGTTTGTATTTATATAATAAATATACACAGTTGCCGTCGTGTAAATAAGATAAATAACATACGGCTATTTAGTTTGCTTAATAAAAGAACAATGTATAGATCTGTTCTATCGGAAAGGTAACTTTAAATGACTTCTATTGTGATCTGATATATATATATATTGTTGTCCTGAATCTTCTATTATTATTATATTCTATCTATATATCAGTGAATGGTGCACACCTATAGTGTATAGTGCAAGTTCAGTGAATGATTAGGAACACAACTAAGGCTCAGTGGCCTCGGACCTCAATACACTGCAGATATGCGAACTGAATATAAACCTAACAGACCATTCAGATTATTAGGATCAAGTCAGAAATACCAAGGTTTCATTCAAACAGGGGAGTCTGATTTTAGCGTTAATGCAACCCATAGTTAGACGTTTTTATTCTTAACGGTTTGAATTAATTTTAAATCAGTTTTTTATTATTTGCTTTTATTGTTGTGATTATTTTAAATGCTTTTTTATTAAAAAAAAATATGTTAAAAAAAAAAATGTTTTCAAAATGTCTTACCGTTGTGTATGAAATGTGCTAACGTTATATGAATAAACGTGCCTTGCATAAGGCGGCGCCAAAAATATGTACCGTTAGTTCAAACAACTCCAACTCCAGTAAACTGAAAAAGTCGATTAATAAGAAACAACATGTTGACGATTGGAACAGTTCAGTGTAACGGCGCAGATGCAGTCAGTAAATGTCCACAATTAACTATTTTAGCTAATGTGGGACGGTGCTTAAAACGCTTTTGCAGCAACACGTTTGATGCATTTTACCATCCAATAATCACTTTAAAAACTCAATAACAGCTTTGACTGTGCCAACGTTTTGTAGGGTTATCGGCCTAGAATATCATTAACCTATTAACCTGTATAACGTTCCTGAGTGATATTACCTTCACAATCTGAGGCAGATTTGTCCTCCATTCTTCTCCAAACATTAGGATGTCACTCTGAGACGCTTGATACATGTCAAATTAACGTCGAAAAGAGCAATTTTCTAGAAAATCCATTGTTAAATCACTTCTAATTGACGAGAGTGTAATCAAACAGTCAACGTTCAACAGAACAGACACGCCCCCTCGAAATTACTCCGCCCATTCTAATGAATATTCATTACAAAATAAACTGCGGCTATTTAATTGGACAGGCGCGTTGGGTCAAAGCATATTTCACACGTTTTTAGCTTTTCAGTGAACGCAATTTAAAGTGCACAATATAAAGGCTGCTACAGTTTCTCAGTGTTATTATTTAGGTATAAATTACCGTCAAACAACGGTTGCTGTTCCTTTTCTCTACAGTCAAAGCACAACGTTCAGCGCTTTGGGGGTTTAAACGGTAACCTATTATCTTTCAGTAAACAATCCATGCCTAGACCACTAAACCAGACAAGAGAGAAGAGCTGTCAAGTATTGTTATGCTGACATCTATAACTAGACGGCGCTGTTTCCCATGTATGTTAAACGTTCATAGGTCTGTTGAGGGTTACTGTAGTCTAATGTGACTTTAGGTCAAAACCTTATATGACTAAATGCTTAATAAATCATTAGTTAATGTGCATTCAGAAATTACGTGTAACTGCTAACTATAATTGATATATTTTCATATACATTCATATTTTAATGTGCATGCACTGCTAATTTTGTGTTATTTCCACCATTGTTGTTTAGGGGGGAAAATTCAGTTTATTTCACACACGTTTGACTCTATAGGTCTGTGTTTGGTAAAACCATTTTTAGTAGATTTACATGATTCTGTTTTGTGTGTAGCTTTAGCAGTTGTTTGATTGCAGAATATTTGTTGGCAACAGTGAATGATCACACAGCCACACAGTCTGACTACGAAATCATTTTAGAGCAAAAAAAAAAAAAAACGCCTTCATGTATGTTGTCCTCAATATACATCTTGTTTGCATTTTTTCTAAAGGTCATAAAGTGCCATGAGGTCAAAAAGCATGAATAATCGTAAGGATTTATGTTTTTAATTGACACAATTTTTTCTTAATAGACTGAAGCAAAGGCTGCATCTTATCAATAGAATTCATGATGGAACAATGGAATACATAATAACGGAAGTACTTGAGCAATAAAGCACTGACCAGACAGAGAGCAGCTCTCCAGTCTTCAAAACAAGACAGTTCAATCGGATTAGACTTCCTTACAAAATGTCATTAGCCCTTTATCAGGAATTCTGTTTACACAGTGGGATTAAATCAACAGACAGATTTTTGGTTTGTTTGTTTGTTTCATTTTGCTGATGCAGAGAGACAATTGTAAGATTTATGTACTTTGCGTGGACTATAATGATGAAGCACAAATTATTGCGTGATTGCTGTTACACACTTGCTTTAATTTTCAAACAGTCAAGCAGTGTAAAAACTGAGCAATATGTTGACGGAAATGGACACACGAGTATCAGTCAGTGTAACCCTGGAGTCTGGGTCAGAGTCGCGTTGACATCCTCAGCATCTCATGACGTACACTGTTAAAAAAATTACGGTAAAAACCCGGCAGCTGTGGTTGCTGGAATTTTACCGTAAAAAATACGGTAGCAACATTTTAGGTTTTACTGATTTAACTTAAATTTACTGAAATAATGTTAATATATCAACCTATTGAAGTACTGAAATCTGTTTTGTACCTTTGTAATACACTGATAACCACCAAATGCAGGAGGTGATGAGAAAGTCACATGATGAACCAAAGCCCATCACAAGAAGCTTTTAAATAATAACATATATAGAAGGTGCACAGTGTCATTCACACAAACACTAAACTCCATAATGGTAACACATATGAAACTAAAATAATGCAATAAACATTCATTTAACAACATTAGGTGTAACATACAACCCTAATATACAAAACTGATAAGAAAAAACTAAGAAGAAACATAGTTATTTCAACAAAAAAACATCAAATTTGAAATGTAACGCAGGGAATTCTGGGAATGTCAATTTACGGTTATTCACTGTAAATTATGCGGTCTTTTTCACTTCCAAAAACAGTATACTACCGTAAAATTACTTATAATGTCCAATACAGTTTTTCACCTTATATAGTAGGAGAATTTCCCATTAACCATTTAACAGGTTTTTACTGTAGCATTTTTACAGTCTTTTACCGTTAAATTCACGGTCATTTTTTACAGTGTAAGCTCTCTGTCGTCATTTAAAGTGTTCCTGTAAATACAATCCAGCCTGCACCTCTGATCAGAGTGTCATCTAAAGATGAAATAAAATATCAAATAAAATGGACTCAAACTGGGATGCAAAGGACTGCATTTTTTCTTAAACAACACAAACCGTTTACCGACCTCACAATTTTACCGTGATCAAACAGGTGCATATACACAAACTATATTACGTATTACAAATATTACTTAAAATATTATATAAAATTATATTACAGCATTGCTATTTAAAGACTGAAAAGATTAAAGAAAGTATTCCTTGGCCATGAAAATTGGATTGATTTGTGGACTGATAAAAAAAAAAACAAAAAAAAAACAGCAGTGAATTAGCATGCACTTCATCAGATGCCAAGGCTTTAGTATTTATAGACTAAGTCTTTGGACCGTCAATGGAAGTGGTGATTACTCTCCTCCACTCGTACCTATCATGGCGGTCATAGTTCGAAAGCAGTAAGACTCAACAGGCTTTAAATAGCATGCATTTTTGAGAAAGGACACCCACTTTAAACCCAGCAATAAGGTCAGAAATCATTGGCAGCTCTGTCCACACATGCACTCACATGGGAGGCCTGACTGCATGCAACAGAACCGGGGTGAGCCCTGCTTCTTCCCGAGGTCAGCGACGGGTCGGCAGCCCAAGATGAATTGGGGGATTGAGCTGGCACTGCAGGTGACAGATGCTTGAATGGAAAAGCCACTAATTGGATGAGGTGGGGATTATGTCTGAGAATCAGATAATCAGATTATTCCAGAAACAGATCTCGCTTTTTTAACTCATTCACCGTAATCTGTCACACAATGTCATGCCTCTACACCAAGACTGCACCTTAGTAGTCTTAGTATCGTTTATCAGTACCCCGCTCTCTCTTGCGTTCTGCTTTTTACATTTACAGTTTTGTCTTCTGTCCGACACGAAAATCGGTTTTCATTTCCAGTTTCCTGCATTTCCATTTTCCATTTGCATTTTCAGGTCTCAGTGCTTGCCTACAAGGTCAGGGACCATGATGCCGTTTCCTGCTTTTCGAAAAAGGACTTAGCACCTGAAGTCTTGTGCTGTCTCAATACAGCATGGGGTTAGATGTAAGACTTGAAGTCAGCATGTCTTTGAAATGTGGGCATCTCTTCACACTGCTCTTCTTCATTGTGTCCGTCACAGGAATTCAAGGTAACAAAGTTAACGTTTATCACAAGATGTAGATGAGACGGTCATTTTGGTTTAAATTTGTAAATGGCTGATTTCTACAGTGTAGTGTTACAGTTAAGAATGAGGACGCTCTTTTGGGCATATATTGTGATTAGTATTGTGACCTATCAAAGAAATATGAAATATTTCTATAGTTCTATAGTGGACACACCAATATATTTTTTCAATGTGTAGAAGGTTCCAAAATGTTGTTTTGATGGATAACATGTAATTGTGTTTTAAGTTGTTTTCATTTACTGTAAGTGTAAAACACCGACGAGTTTCAAATATAGCCACGCAAACGACTATAGAAGTGAAGAGAACTGGAGAGTGGAGAAAATTACCATAAATTTGAAAGATTAGATCATGTGGGCATCATTTACTCTTTTTTTCCCAGTAGTGCCCTCTACCACCAAATAACAACACAATTTGTGTCCTCAGATTGGCCTGAGCTAAATTGTGTAAAATAAAAAAAATAAAAAATTGACCTATAAGGCAAATGCAAAAAAAATGGAATTTTTTGGAATTCCAGAATTATTTTCAGAATGTACATTTGCTTGCTCTTTTCACTAAAACATTTAATGACCTTCAAGCAGGAGTGAAGAAACTAATCTGTTAGCGTTGCATAATACCCTATTTTTGGCAAAAGACTGTGAATTGAAAGCCCATAGGACTTTTGAGAGCTGTGAAATATCAACCGCCTAAAGAATATTTTAGCACAAATATGGCAAACTACAAAAGTTACTAACCTTTTATTTTTGACGAATTAATATTTGTTGTTGTTCTCACAGACCGAAGCAGGCTAAATCCATCAGAGACCCTTCACACTATCAGCTTAACAAACCTGCCAAACCCACCAAAGCAGAATTCAGGGATCAGGACTATATTTGAAATGGAAAAGCATCGCATCAAGAGGTCAGACTTCTTCCACTCAGAGGTGAAAGTATGTCCGCAGGAGACGATGAGGGAAGTCATAGCAAGCCACCAAACATACTACACACTGAGAGGTAACTCATGGCTGTAAAACATAGGAATATTTTCTGTGTTAGAAAGTTTAACCACCCAAACGCTCCAATGGCTCTGTTTAGTGCAGTGGCTCTCAACCCAATTCCTGGAAGCTGCCCTCGAAACTCATACATTTTGTATGTCCCCTTAATCAAACAAACCCGATTCAGGTCATCAGCTCATTAGTAAAGACTCCAAGACTTGAAATGGGTGTGTCAGATAAAGGAGACTACCGACTTGTGAATTTAAATTCAAATGTAGGTCAGTTAATTAATTATTTAATATTAGCTTTCTATTTTTTTCTTCTTCTATTCTATCTACTTGTTTTTCTGTGTGTGTGTGTGTGTGTGTGTATATATATATATATATATATATATATATATATATATGCACCTTGCTACATGTACTGCGTTAGGCTAACGGCTAACTTGTCATTTGCACTTATATATTGTTGCTCTTTTGTTAGTTTTGACTGCTTTTATTGTCCTCATTTGTAAGTCGCTTTGGATAAAAGCGTCTGGTAAATGACTAAATGTAAATGTAAATGTAATTAAATCATGCTTTTAGATTAAACATGAAAATAGATGAGTTAAATGTTTTAAGATTATTAAATATAAAATATTTGCCTGTAGCATGTGCTAGTAGTAGTACTGCTGGCCTTGTCTTTAATGGTGTTTTTCACTTACATTAGATATTTCATACCAGTTGAGCTTTGATTTTTTAAATACATTTGCCATTAACAAAGAACAAACAAAAGCGTCGTTGTCAGTTTCCCTTTTCAGTGAAAGTGAGAAAATAAATATTTAGGTTATGTGCTCCAAAAACTGGACATACCCGTATCAAACGGATAATAGCTATGTTTCCATCCACCTATTTTTATGCGCATTTTGGATTATCGCATAAAAAACCGCTGGATGGAAACACCAAGATGCGCATACATTCTAAAAATGTGCATAAAAAACGTATGCGCACAACTGAGTAGGATAAACTTTTTATCCGATAAGAAAAAATGTGCATAAACTATGATGGAAACACATTAAATTCCGAATAAATTCCACCATGCGCATTGAAAAAGTCATGTGACTTTGCGCTATGAGACGGGATAACTTGACTAACCAGCAGACCGATCTCGCTCACAGCATCTATATGTTATTTTGGTCGTTCTGAAATGCCTGAGGAAAGTCTGTCATCAAAGCATTTCTGTATAATTGTCTTACACGACTGCGTTCCCAAACAGCAGCATCCACCTCTAAAAGCAATGACCGCATTTATTGTGTTTCGTCTGCTCTCTCTGAAGCTCGTCATTTATTACATATGAAAATTATTATATTCACTGGTTTCTCCTAGTTTTCTTAGTGATATTTAGTGCCAGTTTTTCAGGAAGTGACAATTTTGTTCTCTTTCACTCGTTGGATGGAAACAGTGCTTTATTCCCAAATGTTTTATGCGATATTCCAGTTTTGCGCATAAGTTAAATTCGCATCTTTGGATGGAAACATAGCTAGTAATTTGAAGTGACAATTTGGGAATAGGTAGCATAGACATAGACAGACCAAAAACTTGCAAGCCATTTTATTTCACATTGTAAGTACATCATGAAAGTAACCACAATAAAATACATGCCTTCCTACCATATAGTATGAAAAAACAGTACATCAAACAAGTGGTATGTTCAAATTTGCAGTACAACTATGCTCGAATTACATAAACGTATTCAATGACATGCTCTTTTCAAGTGTAGGTGCTAGAGAGAGAGAGAAAAAAAGATTACAAAAAAAAAAAAACTTTCTAAAATTAAGTGGTAAACCCTGTCAAATGCTTCTGTAATGTGGGAGTCATGACACCAGATTTGTGGATCCAAATGCTAGCTTTATTAAAAAGAGTGTGGTCAGAAATCACCAGCAAACAATAACATCCAAGAATAATCCAAGAGAGTAATCCAATGAACAGGCGCAAGGTCAGGGCAGGCAGCAAACAATCAAAACACGGAAACAGTCTAAGATCAAAAACACATAGGCAAAGCAAGGTGGAGCTCATGGGCACTCCAGCTGGTGATCGTGACAGGTTTATTAATTATAAATAAATAAACAGTTAGTCATGAAATAGATCCATCTATGAGAAGTGTATTTAAATTTAGAGAAATATACCAAGGCAGTTGAAGGCAGAAAATATAATCTACAGAGAATAAACGGGTATAATTAATCAAAATAAGACAAGTAATTGTTTATGAAATATGAATTAATGAAATACCTCTGTTGTATGACTTCAGTTTTATTTCATTGCAATTTAGCAAAACAGAAAAATATATTTTACTACAAAACAGATCCAGAAAGACTGTAATGTATGCTGTGAATTTTCTCATCTGAACACTTATTTGTTGACCTTGTCAGTTTGCCAGGAGGCTGTATGGGAGGCTTTCCGGATCTTTCTGGACAGAATTCCCAGCAGCTCAGAGTACCAGAAATGGGTCCACAAATGCCAGCATGACTCTATGTGTATCTCAGATCTCGCCATGGATTTCAGCAATTCACAGGAACACATAGACATGGTCTACAGGGTAAACTAATCAAAAATTCACACAATACTGTACATTCAAAAGATGTCATAATACTTTTTTGTGAATACAGTGTAAATGTGTTTTGTTTGTATAAATTATATTAAATCAAATGTCTGATTTATGTAAATGTTGCTATTTTTAGGTTACCATTTTTTTTCAGTGTCTATGGGTGATTGTGAAATAAGAGCTGCCCTGAATATCTCATCTTAATTCAAACTCTGTTTTTAGTCAGATGGCCAAAAATTAGAGGAATAGTTCACCCCAAAATGAAAATTTGCTGAAAATGTACTCACCCTCAGGACATCCAAGATGTAAAGGAGTTTGTTTTGTCATCGGAACTGGTTTGGAGAAATTTAAAGTTACATCGCTTGCTCACCAATGGATCTTCTGCAGTGAATGGGTGCCGTCAGAATGAGAGCAGCTGATAAAACATCACAATAATCCATTACAGTAAAGTAATCCATACAACCATCAATTACATGTTTACATGTCTGAATGCAACAAATCCATCATTAATGCATTCTGGCCAAAATATGGGTGCAAACTTCCACCAGAGAAGGAGTCCATCCCCTGTTGTTTCTCACTTCAAACTAATTTATTAAGAACTGTTTTGGATTGTTTTCACTTGTAAACGGTACTTGATCTGTGCAGATTTATCTCCTGATTCAGATGAGACAACGTTTTCACAGGAGAAAGCAATATTATTGACAGAGTGCTCATATTTTAGCTGGAAGCAACAGTTTGAAGTTAAAAACATCTTGATGGATTTGTTAATTGCAAACACATCTTTTTGCTTCTCAAGATGTTAACTGATGGACTGGAGTGGTGTGGATTGCTTGTGGATTATTGTGATGTTTTTATCAGCTGTTTGGACTCTCATTCTGACGGCACCCATTCACTACAGAGCATCCATTGGTGAGCAAGTGATATCTCCAAATCTTTTGCTGTTGTATAAGCGCTATAGAAATAAAGGTGACTTAAAGATGACTGTTCTGATGAAGAAACAAACCCATCTTCATCTTGGATGGCCTGAGGGTGAGTACATTTTTATTTTGGGCTGAACTATTCCTTTAAATGTTTAAGTTAAATTTGTTTTGTAATATGTTTGTTTTTCCTTTACAGAGGGTGAATATGAATAGTGAAAAATTAGAACGGTGAGACTGCACTTGAAATCACGACTATTATTTAATATTCTAGAAACATCTTCAAATCATCTATAACAAAAATGGTGAACCATGGTTATTTTAATATCATGATACATAATCATTTTGAATTCATAGAAATATGACTGAAGAGCCAACAACTGATGAAGCACCAAGAACGGAAGGTATAGTTGAATTGTTTTTAGTATTCAATGAGATGCTATCATCATTTTGGAAAGTTCAGCTAAGCTCAATCTCTGTTGTTCAGGCTCAGAAGAAGTCCTGACTGAAGCAGCAGTAGAAGAATTTGTTCCCCCAGATCTGTCTAGCACTGTCAGTACTACAACAGGCACCTCTTCTGCCTCACAGGTCTGGAGCACAATTTACATAACATACTACATGTACTTTCAAAACGGGCAGTAGTGGTTGATAGAAATTAATTTTTAAAATATAGTGACAACTTATTGCTTACAGTATATGCAGCCTTTGCTCTGCTTTCATTTTAGGCCACGACCACCAGGTCAATAAGCCTTGGCTTACTTTTATCTACAGGAATTTACAAATGAATAATAAAATGATTAGTAAAGTTCAACTGGAACACAGGGGACAAAACAATGAACCTTAATGCACCTCAGTGAGTAGTGACTTGAATGACTTAGACACACCTCCTCTTCAGGAAACAATAGAACTTGCAATCATAATGTCACCATAGGCTAACGATGCTTTTGTAATAATGCTTAGCCTAACCATGCATCTTAGGTTGTCATTGTAAATGAAAGCATAACTAAGTGAACACAACTTGAGGGGTTTTGACGGAAAGAAACAAGTTGGTGTTTTTCAACTGCTGTAGAATGAAATGTTGTTTGTTTTTAGCAGGGGAGTAACCCAAGCCTGCTTAAATACAAAAGGAAACCTTTCAGTAGTGAGAGATGTGTTGTTGATGTGAGTGAGAGTCAGAACTAGAAGATGAGGAACAGGAAGGTGGTGGCGGAGGATGGGGTAAAGAGAAGGATGCTCTGAACAGTTTGTAGGTGTTTAGTGGAAGGAAGGGATGATGGTATTTTTTTTTAGAATTTTTATTGTAGCACTTGCATGAATTCTTCAGTTAAAATGTTTAAAATAAAAGATTTAACCCGGAAAGTTGTTTAAACCGTTTGGGGAATTCTGCATGTTTTTTGCACTAATTATTAAATAGCTCTTGTAATACATTTGTAGGAGTTGGATCTTCACAATGTGGTTCCTGAGCAGCCAGTACATCAGGTCATAGAGTTCAGCGTTATACTAATGGACTATGGGTATCAGGAGATACTGAGAGACACCGATTCACCTCAGTACCATGACCTGTCAAGGCATCTTCAGGATCAGGTGTGTGAAAATAACCAAACAATGATCCAAAATTTAGTGTTTTTGAGGAATCAAAGTGTGCACATAAAAACACATACTGTGATTGTCTGCGGATTTCCTTTCATAAATATATGTAATTTGGGCATTTCTCCATTTGCATGCTAATTTGTTCCTGCAAGCCTTAAAATCATTGGAGAAATGATCATTGCAAGAGTAAATTAACATGATTACAAGGCTGATAAAGAGTCAAAACAGTGTCTATTTCCTTATAGCCACCCACAACACAAAACAATGACTCTCCTTATGCATTCTTATGCAAAGCATGCTGGGAACTAGATAAAAAAAATCAATTAACACAGAGTTTATACAATATTAAGCTGATGTAATAAACATTAACAATGTTTGCAACCTAAAATGTTTAGTTAAATCAATAAATTAGAATAGAACGTCCAACCATGGATGTATTTAAATTGTAAGTCCCTTGAATTTTATTTTATTAGAGGGCAGGAGGCTCAGATTATTCAACAGAGCCACACTGTGTGCAGTGCAATTTGTCTAAGCATTAATGATAGGGAAAGCTCCTTATACTGGAGAGCAGCCACGTAAGAAGTGTTTCTTGGAGGTTATAGTACATTGAAGAACGATCATATTACTTTTTACATACGCCATGTGACCTGTAAATGCGAAAAAAACCGAATTATTACTTTTTCGCATTGCCTGAAAAACCACCTCATACGAGCATAAAAACTTTTTGGCGATATATGGGCATTTTTGCGAAATTGACACGTTTCCATTAGGCGTATTTTCAATTCGCAATTTCAATTTGCGCAATTTGAAGGGTAATGGAAAGGCGCCTAATGATTGTGCAGTTCTGGTTAATACATTTGCCTATAGCTACACCCATATATGATGGGCAACATTAGATATTAAAGTGCATGCTTGTTTGTTTTTTGCAGATGCAACATGCTTTTAATGACCTACCTGGATTTATGGATGTCCAAGTGTTAAGTATTAGGTAGGCGTACTCTTTTAATATGACTTTAATTATAGCAGCAGTGACCAACTGATCAGCTGAGCTCTGAATTACTGCTGTGAAAATAGGAATTTACATTCACACTGAAATATAAGCCTATCTGTGTTTGTATCCTGTTTCCGTTAACTTTCACATTTCACTAGTGAGCTGTTTGTGCATGTCTGATTACTTGTTGCATTTGATTATTTTCTGTTTTCTGTCATACATGCAAGTGAGGCAGAAGCACCTAAAGGGTAAAAGTTACATAATGTGTTTTTGTGTGTTGTATAATGTGTGTAGTCTTTGTGTACATCAGCTTTCGTTTCTATTGCTTCGATAAAACGTCTGCTACACGAATAAATATAAATGCACATTGCTTCTATTTATCCAGAGCTGGAGGACTATCTGCAGTTTACTCAGCTGTATTTGAGACTACCTTACCTTCCAGTGCTGATGGAAATCTGGACATTGGCACGGCTGTTTCATCTACAGGACCAAGTCTGAAGGATATGATAGTTAAAGCACTGAGCAAAAAGGCATCTCTTCTTGATCTTAATTCACTGACCTTTGAGACAGGTAAATGTATATAATTATAAATATGTATTTCCATTTACAATTTATTTAAAAAGAATCTTGTTTGATTATCTTGTATAAGTTCATCACAGTATTTATAAGTTGTGTAAACATTTTCTCGCATCAGACAAAGACCAGCCTTCAACGAGAATGCCTGTGACTGTTTCTGAAGACATTATAACTGAGGTGACTAATGCATTACAATTACGCAATTAGGAACAAGAGACCATTCTATATTGTCAATATAGTCATGGCTAAAGGGGCACAGCTCACAGAGAAATGCCTGTGATGCCTTCCATACTGACACACAGCACAGATTTATTGCTTCTTTGTTCCCAAATTAAAATAAATATATGACAACTTTTAATGACGATATTACAGTGTCATCCACTAGAAGATATATTTGTAAACTATATACGTGTAAACTAAGGGTTAATAGTAATATATGCAGCAGCTGGGGAAGATTTCATACCTGCTAGTGTATTGTATATTGCAGTGCCGTATCAGCCAATCAGCATCCAGGACCAGAACTATATGTTTTAAGTCTTTTGTGCTCTGTGTTACTTATTTTATATGTTTATGAAACAGAGATAGGGTTAACATAACATCTTTGAATGCAATAACATAATTGTACACCTGTTCATTTGCAGTCCTTTGATCAAGATTCATATGGTGACCTCAGTTTTCCAACAAAAGGACCAAAGATTGAAGTTCAAATTTCATCAGATGATGATGAGACCATTGTAGAACCAACTTTGGACACAGACAGCACCACGACAACAACAAAATCAGAATCAGAAACAGTTGAGCCTGAGAGTGACGCAGTCATTATACACCAGCTTAAAACTATTCAAGGGGAAACTGGTGAACTCATAACAGAGATTTTTCAAGTTCCACCAGTAGAGGAAGCTCCTAGTGAGGATGACAGCAAGCCAGTTGTTATTGCTGAAAAAGACTACAATTCGGCTCCAACATCTTCAGCTACTGCCTCAGCATTACCCCCGAGTGAAGAACAGCCTAAGACTACAGAGAAACCTACACCAGATAGTGACTTTAGTCTAAACACGATACCAGAAGATAACATCCCATTTCACCCGGTAACCACCACCCACATTTTGTTCACCACTGCAACAACCGTTAGTCCTAGGTCTGAACAACCAAAGTTGGCTGTCACAACTGACTTTAGCATCACCCTGCAACCTTCAACTGAACCAATTGATCCAATAACTGAAGTGACAGATTCTAATGAAATTCCAGAGGTGCCTCAACCAGTGGACACTGGAACTGTAGTAAAGGAAGAAGAGACCAAAGTGGTGATGCCTGAACCAAACGAAGAGACCAAGTCTGAGGTTGATTTACCCAAGGTAAAGGTTGTGACAACAGAAACTGTAGAAGTATCTGGACCTGAGAAAGCTACCAATGTAACTGGAGATGCTGTCGTTTTAGAAGACCAGGTATTACGACCTGAAGAAGTAGATGCTGTCATTTTAGAAGACCAGGTATTACGACCTGAAGAAGTAGATGCTGTCGTTTTAGAAGACCAGGTATTACGACCTGAAGAAGTAGATGCTGTTGTTTTAGAAGACCAGGTATTACAGCCTGAAGAAGTGACTGTAGTAACAGAAATGCATGCTGAGTATGGCACATTAGAGCCTGTGGGAACAGTTGTGCTACCAGAACCAGAGGATGAGATTGAAACATCAACTAACCAGGATGAAGTATCAGAACCCGAGGAAAAAGCTTTAGAGCCAGATCCAGAGGTCATTATAGAATCGAAAGAAGATGTTGAGGAGCATAAAACTGATGAGGAGATTAAAGTGAAACAAGTGGATGACGTTCAGGCAACCAGAAGGCCAGAAACTGAGACAGGACAACCTAAGGAGGAACTTCATTTAACAGAAAAGGGTGAGGTGGTGAAACCTGAAAGAGAAGCTGATGAATCAGAACCTGCTGAAGTTACAGAATATGAAGGCAGCGTCAAAACTGAACAGCCTGCTGTGGAGATCGCGATTGAGGTCCCCAAAACCACTGAAGGTTCAACCAAACCTCCTGCAGAGATGATTAAGATTAAACCACCTGAGATTTCTGTCACAGAAACTTACCTTGTTGAGAATGTTGACTATTACCAACCCAAAGAAGGTGCTAATTTGCCTTTTGTGCCAGTTGACAGGGTTCAACCAGGCACAGACATTGGTAAACCTGAACATGTGGAAGACTTTGGGGTGGAGGATCAACTCTCCAAACCAGAGGTTATTGAGGGAGTTTTTGAGATACCAGATCTGGTTACAGAGGGAAAAACCCTAAGACCAGAAGTGTCTGATGTTTTCACTACTGTATCAAGTGCCTCAGAATCTCTACCTGAAGTGATCACAGAATCAGCTTCGAAGAAAGATAAGGACTTACCATCTGTTGTTGGGGATACTAAGGAGCCACAGTTTGAAGAGATGGGTGAGAGATCTACGCTGTTTCTCAATAAAAACGTTTTAGAATTAACATGGAAAATGTTCACAAAATGAGTTTTAGCAGTCATCTGAAACACTTAACTATTTTGCACTTCAAATATAATTTACAACCTAACTTTAATGATTTCCCAGAGGAAGACCAAGAAGAAGAGACTGCATCACAACCCACGGAGACACTCGCAACTGATCTACCTTTGACAACACTTTTTGAAGTAGTGCTAACAGATGAATCGGTCGTTACGCCAACCCCTTTGGAAAAGGATTATGATTCACCAACTGAAAAAGTACAATCAACTGTTGCCCAGGAGTTACCATCTGTTGTTGGAGATACCAAGGAGCCAAAGCTCACAGAGATGGGTAAGAGATCCATGCCATCTGTGTTTCTCAATAAAATTGTTTTGTCAAAGAGATGTTCAGAGAGATGCTCCCAATCATAGCTCTCATTACAGAACATTACAGGCTGTCTAATTTAAATTTGATCGTGGAGTTGAGGCAGAATAAAAGGCTAAAAGAAAATAAGACACCTGAGTGCAGAAGTGACAGCAGTTGTTTAAGGTGAACATCTTTTATCTCATGTATAAGAGAATATTTGAGGGGATATGACTGCTGAACTGTCACACATTAACTATTTTGCACTTCAGATGTAATTTATATCATCATTAATGATTTCCCAGAGGAAGACCCTCCGACAGAAGATCTCCTTGTAGAACAAGAAGAAGAGACTGCATCACAACCCATGGAGACACTCGCAACTGATCTACCTTTGACAACTTCACCTGCAGACCTTAACAGTTTTGAAGTAGTGCTAACAGCTGTATCTGTCGTTACGCCAACACCTTTAGAAAAGCATTATGATTCACCAACTGAAAAAGTACAATCAACTGTTGCCCAGGAGTTACCATCTGTTGTTGGAGATACCGAGGAGCCAAAGCTCACAGAGATGGGTAAGAGATCCATGCCATCTGTGTTTCTCAATAAAACTGTTTGGTCAAAGAGATGTTCAGAAATATTTTGAAAATTGTAACAAGATAGCCAAGTTTTAGCTATCATCTGAAACCCACTTATACAGTTCCCAATCCAAGATCTGAGTACAGAATTTGATACTGGAGTTGAGGCAGGATAAAAGTCAAAAAGAAAACAAGACCCCAAGTGCAGAAGTGAAAGCAGTTGTACCTCATCTACTGGGGGAAAGAGAAATTAAGATTATTACTGAACAGCCACACTGATCCACAAAATTAACTATTTCAGTGTGCAACTATTTCACCATTTAAAATGTAGTTTATAATCTATCATTAATGATTTCCCAGAGGAAGACACTCCGACAGAAGATCTCCTTGTAGAAGAAGAGACTGCATCACAACCCATGGAGACACACGCAACTCATCTACCTTTGACAACTTCACCTGCAGACCTTAACAGTTTTGAAGTAGTGCTAACAGCTGTATCGGTCGTTACGCCAACACCTTTAGAAAAGCATTATGATTCACCAACTGAAAAAATACAATCAACTGTTGCCCAGGATGTTGATTTTACGAAGACAGAAAATGACAAAATGCTGAATGTGGAAACTCAGGAAGTTGTTCTAACAGATGCATCAGTCGTTACTCCAATATTTTTGGAAAAGGATTATGATTCACAGACCGAAAAAGCACAACCAACTGTTGCCGAGGATGTTATATTTGAGTCAGAAAATGACCACGTGCTGGATGTGGAAACTGAAGACCCATTTATTCATTTAAAAGAGTTAGACCAAATAGATGTAGTAAGTACTGAGACCATTGATCTCTTGAGTTATGACAATGGATATTCTTTCCCAAATGAAGGATATCCCTTGGAGACAACAAGAGCGCCATCACTAAAGTATTTCACAACTCCTTCTATGACCACAGCTAACAAAGACAAAGAACTAGTTGTGTTTTTCAGTTTGCGTGTCACAAACATGCTGTTCTCTGAAGATCTTTTCAATAAGAGCTCTGCAGAATACCGATCGTTGGAAAACACATTTGTTGAACTGGTGAGTGCAGCTCTTTCAATTTCTGTTGGCTGGTTTATTAACATCCTCATTAATAGTGGGATATTACAGTAAGAAAACATACAACTCTTTATTTTCTTCATAAAGCGGTTTCTTATAGTGATGAGTGAATGGGTGGACATCAGCATATTGTTTCATCTGAATGCTTTTCACTGCATAGCCTATGCAGTCTTTAAAAACGAGACTATACTTACACTCTGCAGTATGATAATATTTGTGCTTAGATTCCTTCTGCTAACTCCTGCAATTGTCCAGTGGATTTTGAATGGTGGACATACATAAACTATGTTTTTGTCTCCTCTGTGCACAGCTACTCCCATATCTACAGTCTAACCTAACAGGCTTTAAGAAGTTAGAGATTCTAAACTTCAGAAACGGAAGTGTGGTGGTCAATAGCAAGGCAAAATTTGCCAAGTCTGTGCCGTACAACATTACTCAGGCTGTCCAGCACGTCTTGGAGGAGTTTTGTAATGCTGCAGCCCAGCATTTGGACATAAAGGTTGACAGCCATTCCCTAGACATAGAACCAGGTAAGAGTCTTGGGCTTTGCAAGCATCATACATCAGCTGGCTGGTTCATTTCAAAACTGCATCAGTCTGTCTGGACATGGACAGAATTTCTCACAGAAGGTCAAGAACTGCTACAATTGAGATGAGTCCCATTTCTTCTTTCATTTTAGCTGATCAAGGTGACCCTTGCAAGTTTCTTGCCTGCAACGAGTTTTCCAAATGCGTGGTAAACCTCTGGACAAAGGAAGCACAATGTTTATGTGACCCAGGCTACGTGACGGTGGATGGACTGCCATGTCGGAGCCTCTGCGTGGTCCAGCCTGACTTCTGTCTCAATGGAGGAGAGTGTGAGATTGTACCGGGCATGGTGCCGCTTGCAGGTACCTCAGAGAACAAACACATATGTGACCCTGGACCAAAAGTCGCTTAAGTCTTAAGTCACTGGGGTATATTTGTAGACAGCCAACAATACATTGTATGGGTCAAAATGATCGATTATTCTTTTACGCCAAAAATCATTAGGATATTAAGTAAAGATCATGTTCCATGAAGATATTTTGTAAATTTCGTATCGTAAATATATAAAAACTTCATTTTTGATTAGTAATATGCATTGCTAAGGACTTCATTTGGACAACTTAAAAGGAGATTTTCTCAATATTTTGATATTTTTGCACACTCAGTTTCCAGATTTTCAAATAGTTGTATCTCGGCCAAATATTGTCCTATCCTAACAAACCATACATCAATGGAAAGCTTAAGATGATAATTATTTAAAAAAAAAAAAAATTTTAATGGCTGGTTTTGTGGTCCAGGGTCACATATAGCTATGAAAAGTTAGATTCCATGATCTAAATGCAATTCAGTTCTGTTTTGGAATTGAATAGAATGCTTGTCTCTAATGTGAGATCTAGGTTTTTACCTTAACTAGGTAAATCAAGTTTCTGACTATATGCTGGCAAACTTAATATTTTTGCCAGCACTCCAGTATTTTTGGTAATTTCTTAAAAAAAAAAAATCAGGAAATTACTTTGTTCTTTAGAAACATGTAAACACAGGGATGATGTTGTGTAGCTCTGATGGATCTCTTTAGGAATAATCCTCCACTGTGCATGTTATAACTGTCTCTCTCGACCCTTTTAGATGTCCTGTAGGTAAATTCTGGCAATTTATCGGGGAGAGATGTGCAGAGCTGGTCTCCGTGACACTAGACCCCTTTCTTTCCCTAGTGTGCCTCGTGGGCGCGCTCACCTTTCTTTATGCCATCATTTCTCTCTTGTTATACATGTGCAGGAAATGTGTACGGACCAGAAAGACACTAACTCTAGTGTAAGCAGGTCTTTTTTTCGTCAGATTTTCTGACATATTTTGCGGTCAAATAATTTGTTGTGTAATCACAGATAACAAAACATACAGTAAAAAATATCTCTGAAATGCTGATTAGTCAAACATATACAAATTTAAAAAAAATTCTAATTCAAAATTCAAAGTTAAAAAAAAAAAGTTTTTAAGTTTTTAAAGTATTTATTTCTTAAAGGGGTCCTATTATGCTCTTTTACAATGTCTTGAATTTGTTTTGGGGGTGTACTAGAACATGCTCTCATGCTTGGTGGTTTGAAAAACGCATTATTTTTTACATAATTTACATTATGGCATAAACGGCTCGATTAATTCCGGGTTTGATGAAGGCCCGCCTTCCGAAAAACGAAATGCGATGTGATTGGTTAGCTGTCCCAGTGAATTGTGATTGGCGAACAGCTTAGATGGTATTTCAGTAGTGCCCCGCCCCTTGCCAAAGCAGAAAGTTACGTCTGCTCCAGTTTAGTTAAGGATGGCGTCAATATAGCCACATCAATCTGAGCCAGATTCAGACCCCGAGAATATTGAACAAGAGGATCGTGCAGAA